TCCCCTTATTCTTATATTGTTCCTGCGGCCTCTATTGTCCAAGTCTTCTGTGTTTCTCATTATGTATAGAAGTTTGCTGTCACTGCAACTTTGGTTGCGTTCTAGTGCCAGGACCCTGTCTAGCAGTTTGTCCCTGTCTTCCTCCAGGTCCCCCACCCTGCTGTTTACTTGCCTGATCTCGGAGGACAGTGAGGAAATCTGATCCTGCATTGAAGATTCCAATTTAGACAGCATGTCTGCCAAATCATCTTTAGAAGGTAGGTTTCTTAATATTTCTTTCATGTCTGCCATCCCCCATTCCGGAGCTGAATCTGATCCTTCCAGGCTATGCGGGGAAAAGCACTGTGGGGAAGATGGCGCCTGAATGCCTTCGTCTAGGCCGTCGCCTAGAATCTTCACCGTGTCGCGAAAGTATTTGTCCAGACCGCCGGGATTTTTCTGCGTGCCCGGGTCCGGTAGGCTCTGGGAGGGTATGGGTTTCTTTTTATTGCCCATTTTTGTCGTGTAAACTTCGTTTTTATCCAGTTTTATCGCCGCCGGCCAGGGAGCTCCGATCAAGTGCGTCCGCTCACATTAGGTGTCAGGCCACGCCCCCCCTGATATTTTTTTTTACCTGGGGAGATGAGAAGGTCCAAAGTTTCCCTGCCATGCCCAGGTACCAACACCTTATGATGTGGTGTCCAGAATGAAGTGCTCCTATCTCATTTTCTTCTCCTTCATTTTTCAGTCTTCTTTTTCTTCTGAGGCTCCTTCTGCTCCTTTACCTTTTTGCTACTTTCTGCTTATTTTGAACCCTTCTGCTCCTTTCTCTTTCTGATCCCTTTTTTCTCCTTGCAGACCTTTCCTACTCCTTGCTGACCCCTCCTGCTCATTGCAGACCCTTCCTGCTCCTTGCTGCCTCTTCCTACTCCTTACTGACCCATCTTGCTCCTTGCAGACCCTTCCTACTCCTTGATGACCCCTCCTGCTCCTTGCAGACCGTCCCTACCCCTTTCTGCTGCCCCTTCCTACTCCTTGACCCCTCCTGCCCCTTGCAGACCCTCTCTACTCCTTGTTGACTCCTCCTGCTTCTTGCTGACCCTTCCTGCTCCTTGCTGACCCCTCCTGCCCCTTGCAGAACCTTTCATTTCTGCTCCTTCTACTTTACCTTCCTCTATGCTGTTCCCCCCACCCCCTCCCCATCCCTCACTTACCTGATCTGTAGGCTGCCTCTGTGCTGCTCCCTTGTGGTTTCAGTCATGAGTGAGAGGCAGGGATAAGCTGTAGCTTCCTGCCTTTCAACATTCGGTATTGCAGTGTATTCTCACACAAACCAAAAATAGCAGCACGAGCTGAAAAATCCAGGGGGACGCCCATGAGGGTCAGCATGTGGTGTTGTAACCCTGTGAGGTAAAGTTTGATTGGGTTGTAAGATAGATGTAAATTGAGATGGCAAAAGGAAGCAAAAGCCACCAAAGATTCCATTGAGAACATATCTACCACCTGGAAGTCCCTAGAAAATTTTTAAAAAATATTGAGAGCTTGTTTGTATGCCCGATTGGTGTTTTTAGCAAAGTGCATTGCGACAGCATTCTGCCGTGTGCTAGGAGTTGGCCTAATCCAAGATGAGCTCTTGAAACTGAGGGGCTGGAGTTGCTAATATGGAGGCATTGGGATGTAGTAGGCGGAATTCCTGAAAATGGAAGCGGAAAAAATGGTCAGCTGCTGTGTTGTGAACACCAGGCACGTAAAGAACGGATGAGCTGCCATGAGCCAAGTTAATTGTCTAACGAAACTCATAATGACTAGAGAGGGGGACTGGCCTTTGTTGATGATATGACAAGTTGCTTGATTGTCTGAAAAACAATGCACCGTGTGTCCTGACCAGGAGTGTCCCCATGTGGCTGCTGCTGCTTCCACAATAGTGTAAATCTCCAGCAATGCTGAAGTCTGATCAAAGGCCTCCAATGTTCTGGTCTCAGGCGGCCAACTGCCCCACAACCACTGGTGTACTGTAAGGAGAATTCTTCCGATCGAATCAATGAATTCAAACTGGGAATGGTGGAGGAGTGAGGTGCTGAAAGATCAATAATCAGTCTCTTTTTTTAAAGAGTGTTTCCCAGTTACAATGCCTATCGGGTTTGTATGCCAATTAGAAAAGGGGTGTGTGGAAAAGGGGCCTATGATGAACCCTTGATTCAGTTCCTGCATTAACAGTGAGTCAACTAAACCTGGGTTGTTGACAGCTGACTGTAGGTTTTTACTTTCCGTGATACCGGTAGGTAACGCTATGATACTCATGTGGAAGCCCTCAGAAAAACCTGAAACCAAGAAGTCAGTCAACTGTGGAGAAGGGTGAGTTGCTAAAAGTTGAGACAACTGAATGACATTTACAGATGTGAAATATTGTTTGGAATGCAGTTTATTAGGGCACATTGTCTTGGACTGAGCACGGAAACATAGGGTACATATATGTAACAGTCTACAGACCCCTGAGCGGTGGGTGGGGGCCCTATAATAAAATAAAGGGGGGGAGGGGACCTAATGTCCTCCCCCCTGAGCGGCGGGTGGGGGCCCTACAGTAAAATAAGGGGGGGACCTAATGTCCTCCCCCTGCCCCACCCCTGAGCAGTGGGTGGGGGCCCTAAATTGGAGTAAGGGGGGGACTAAATGTTCTACCCCCTGGTCCCCACCCATGAGCAGAGCACTCTGATTGGATGGCTTAAACCAAACAATCAGAGTGCCTTCCCCCGCCCTGCAGAGCTCAGTCTGCGCGGAGCCCTCCATGGGTGAAGATGGATTATTTTTTAAATTTTTTTGTTATTTTTTTTAAAGTGCGTTGGTTATTATGGATTTTTTATTTGGCCTTTTTTGGGGCTGAAAAATGAAGATTTTAGAAGGAAGAAAACATCAAATGGTAAGTTTATTTTTATTTTTACATGTACTTAGTTAAAGGTCCCCCCTCGTTATTTTTAGGGTGAGGGGGGTAGGTAGGGGTTAATTTTTTTGGGGGTGTGACTAGGGGTTTGGGGACCCCTAGTCACCTGGGGGGGTAACATTTTTATTTTGGGGCCCCCACCCACCACTCAGGGGTGGGGGCCAGGGGGGAGGACATTAGGTTCCCCCCCCCTTATTTTACTGTAGGGCCCCCACACACCGCTCAGGGGTAGGGGCCAAGTGGGAGGACATTAGGTCCCCCCCTTATTAGTATTTTGGGGTCCCCACCCACCGCTCAGGGGGCCAGGGGGGAGGACATTAGGTTCCCCCCCTTATTTTACTGTAGGGCTCCCACCCACCGCTCAGGGGTGGGGGCCATGGGGAGGACAATAGGTCCCTTTTTTTTTTTTTTTTTTTAAACAGACATGCCCCTACTCGCGGTATAGTGAGTAGGGGCAAAATTTACTAATACTAAGTAATTTTTACTTAGTATTAGTAAATTTGGCTGAAAGACCAATTTAGGTCTTTCAGCCTTTTGGTATATAACTCCCTAATACCGTGGGAATTAAGAAGTTATCTACTAAGTGGCTGCAAGAGAAGTCCAGAATTCCCGAAATTCCAAAATGCCGAAGTTCTGAAATGTCGAAGTGCCGAATTCCCGAATTGCGGAAGTCCCGAATTTCGGAATGCCGAACTGAAAATTTTCCCCATGCACACGCCTATTGGCCTCTCTGTGACGTTTTACAAGAAAAATAGAATTTGGCCGTGACCGGTGAGGCCCTCCCTATGTAACTTGCGAGGCAGCTAGCTATGCGTTGGACCGAGGGGCCGAATACCTCCAAGTATGAGGATGGGATCACTAGTGTAAGGCGTAGAAGGCCTGTAAAAAGCTAAATATGCCTCCTGTTTCCCTGATAGCCAGAAATTCATGTCTCAATTAAATGAGAGAAGGCAAAACGGGGAGATTTAAATATATAAGTCAAAGAGGAACGTACCTGTAAGACTAGAATTGTATTCGTAAGACCAGTAATTGTAGGTTTGAAGGTTAGTGATGCACTTAAAGTATGGGGAAGGGAGAATTATGACTGAGAAAATTAACCTTGACCTCTTCCTCCCCTCCCCCGTATCTCAAAGGAGTAATGGTCTACCTGGTTTGTACAGGATCAATATGAGATTTGAATTCTCAGAAAAAGCCTGTGAGTTGTAGTGTCGGATATTTTGTGGAATCAGTGCGCCAATGAGTCTATAAATACCGTAAGAAGACATACTGTAAGACATCTGTATTAATGACAGACAAGTGACAACGTGTAATATGACTTATGCTCCTACCCGTATGGTGACTCCAAGACTTGTCCTTGTCAATACAAAAATACTGCTTTATAAGCCAGTCTGATGCTTCCCCTAGGAATTAGCTTGAAAACCGTGATGTTAGAATCATCACCCTATGTCTACCACTGTAACCACTATTATGTTTATACTTATACTTTAACAATATACAAGTATATGTGGCCCTTCGGTATTGCTAGAGGATTATATATTAGTAAACACGATATCTTGGGGTGAATCTATTAACCGTGAGTATGCTTGGTAGTAAGGGAAAGGGGAGTATGTAACCATCACCAATATGATAACAATTTAATGTTAAAACTCCTTATCTATATCAGCGGCTTTAAATTTTGTAACGTGAGTGCATGCCAGTTGTGATAAAACATATTATTATCGTACACGTACCACTTTAATAAGTAGACAAAATTACACTTGGACTGCTGATTGGCTAAATTCATGCGCTGCCAACCTAGAGCCTAGCCAAAGAAAGGGAATAAAGGGTTAACAGGGAGATGAGAGAAGTTGCAGGAGCTATATTGTTTAATATGCCTCTACCACCCTCCTTCTGACTTAAAGAAAGCTTCCATCAGAACCTGCCCCTATCAATCAGTAACACAGTATCAACGACATGTATGGCAATACGTTCCCAGCAAGAGGTATCGAAATGGAGTTTGCATAGGTAGATTCATAGGCGTGCGCAGTCTATTGCATTAGGGTGTGCACCCTAAAGCACAAACACACACCGCATGTATATGTGTGTGTGTGTGTGTGTGTGTGTGTATGTATGTATGTATGTATGTATATATATATATATATACACACATATACACATACATACATACATACATACACTGCTGTGTGTGCTGTTAGTGTGCTGTGTGAGGGTTCTGTGTGCTCTGTTAGTGTGATGTGTGTGTGTGTGAGGGTGCTGTTAGTGTGATGTGTTGGTGAGGGTGTTTGTGTGTGTGTGTTGGTGATGGTGCTGTTTGTGTGTGAGGGTGTTTGTGTTTGTGTGTGTGTGTGTTTGTGAGGGTGCTGTTAGTGTGCTGTGTGTGAGGGTGTTGTGTTTTTTTAAAAGGTGCTGTGTGTGTTCGGTTAGTGTACTGTGTGTGTGAGCTGTGTGAGCTGTATGTGTGTGGGTGCTGTGTGTGTGTGTGTGTGTGTGTGCTGTATGTTTGGAGGGATTGTGGAGGTGGGGGTATTTTAGCCTGTGCGCACCGCTGGTGAAGGGGTTAACATAAGTGAGCAGTTTGCATAGGATATGAAAATTCTGGTATGCGGCTGTAACACGGTATTAACATTGTACACCGCAAAATAATGTAGCAATATGTTTCCAGCAAGAAGTAAAGAAGGGGTTGCCTAGGAAAATTCAGTGTGTGTACCGTGGGTGAAGGTGGTTAACCTAAGTGAGCGGTTTGCCTGAAATGAACACGCCGGTATGCTGCAAGGATGAAAAGGGAGGGGGGGGAGGGGGAGCCGTTGTGATGCTGTTGCACTCACTGTACTGCTGCAGGCAACTCCATTGGACAGCTAGGCATTCTTGCTGGACTGGGCCTCGTGTCTCTCCACTCAATGTTTACCCAGAAGTGACGTCACACTCAGTTGGACAGCTAGGCATTCTTGCTGGACTGGACCTCGTGTCTCTCCACTCAATGTTTACCCGGAAGTGACATCACACTCAGAACTAGGAGGAGTCTAGTGCCGATGGTGAATATTTATACCAGCACTTGCCCCTCCCACAACTACAGGCTCTGTCTTTACATATATATATATATATATATATATATATATATCTGTGCTCAAAAGTTTGCATACCCTTGGAGAATTGGTGATATATGCACCATTTTTAAAGAAAACATGAGTGAGCAGGCAAAACACATTTATTTTATTTCTTATGGGACTCATATGCAACTGTAGGTTATAACAGAATTGTACAATCATAAAACAAAACATGGCAACAGAAAAAAAATGGAATGACCCCTGTTCAAAAGTCTGCATACCCTTAGTTCTTAACACTGTGTATTGCCCCCTTTAGCAGCAATGAGTGTAGTCTTTTGTAATAGTTGTCTTTTAGGCCCCTAATTCTTGCAAGTAGTACATCTGCCTATTCATCTTGGCAAAATGCATCTAGGTCATGCAAAGTCTTTGGTCATCTTGCATGAATCACACGTTTGAGATCTCCCCAGAGTAGCTTTATGGTATTAAGGTCAGGAGAGTGTGATGGCCACTCCAGAACCTTCACTTTTTTTCTGCTGTATCCACTGGAGGGTCTACTTGGCCTTGTGCTTAGGGTCATTGTCATGGTGGAAAGTCCAAGAGTGTTCTATGTGCAGCCTTTGTGCAGAAGAATGCAAACTGTCTGCCAGTATTTTCTGATAATATACTGCATTCATCTTGCCATCAATTTTCACAAGATTCCCCCAGCCTTTAGAACTCACTACCCCCAAAACATCAGTGGGCCAGTGGGAATGGTATTCTTTTCAGTATAGGCCTTGTCGGCCCCTTGTCGACAAGTTGTGACCATAAAGCTCTATTTTGGTCTCATCACTCCGAATTACAGTGTGCCAGAAGCTGTGAGGTGTCATGGTGTTGTTGGGCATATTGTAACTGGGCTTTTTTGTGGCATTGATGCAGTATAGGCTTTTTTCTGGCAATTTGTCCATGCCGCTAATTTTTGTTCAAGTATTGTCGTATTGTGCTCCTTGAAACAGTCACACCTTCTTTTTTCCAGAGCGCCTGTATTTCTCCTGAGGTTGCCTGTGGGTTTTTCTTTGTATCCCAAACAATTCTTATGGCAGTTGTGGCTGAAATCTTTCTTGGCCTACTCGACCTTGGCTTGGTATGAAGAGATCTCCGAAGTTTTCACTTATTAATAAGTGGTTGAACAGTACTGACTGGCATTTTCAAAGCTGTGGATATCTTTTTTTTTTTTTTTTTTTATTCTTTATTTTTAGAGCGAAAGAATAACAAACTGACAGGTATAGTCACAACAGTTGTTCCCCGTGACATCGTAACAAAACAAATGCAATATAAGTCATTGTGGTGGTTAAGTTCACCAATTTTTTTTTTGTGTGTGGACTGATAGGTTATAGCGAGGTGTGTGTCTGGATGTTAGGGAGTGTGGACCACTCGTCTAAGTGAGCGTATCAGCACTCCACTTGGTTAGCCGTGGAGCCAATAGAATAGAGGTGCCCGGGTCGTTGTGGTTGAGTGTTTTTTATATTTATTTATTTATTTTGTTTTTTATTTATTTATTTTTGTAAGAGTGTTGTCTAGGCTGGGTAGTGGTCTGTAAGAGTGTGTCTCTGCCGGGTGCCATGTAGTGATCAGGACACTGGTCCATGGGTATCATTGGTTTTGGCTTGCCGGGGGCCACTACAGTGTATAGTGTGCTGATTTCTGGTTAGTGTTGCTTCAATTAATCTGGACTAGGTCTGATGGTAAGGTTTGGTGAGAGTTTAGGTGTAGACTTTCGGTCATGTAGGAGCTTGGGTACATTATCTAGTCTAACTGGCCTGGTAAAGTGCCTGCTTGAGGGGGGCGTCTCTATGTGGTTGCATAGCACTATCCCGGGAGGTCGGGCTCCTATGTCAGTTGTACCCCATGATCCCGGGGCCTTGGGGGGTGGGGGGGAAGATTGTATATCTTCTGAGCAACGAGACGTGTGTGTAGGATGTGTCATATCGTGTGTGTTGAGCCTGTTGTGTGAATGTGTGGCGGCATAAAGGTATTCGTAACAGGTAAGGTGGTAATGGTTAAACACAATGGAGGTATGGAATATGTGCATATTTCTTCGTGGAACAAACTTGAGAGGCTTATGTAGCCGGTGGGGGTTGGTTCAGCTCTTGGCTCCCCGTTTCTCTCTGGGTGCGTGGTTCGTCGTGGTAGTACTTTCGGTATGAGGGCTCCGTGGTTGCATGTTGGAAGATTCCCAACGTTGCCATCAGTGCCGGACCATCCTTAGGATCAGTGGCCTTGTAATGTTGTCCATACTTTGTTACCCAGAGTGTTCCTGGAGTTGCCCATTGGTAAGCGATTCCTGCTGTGTGGAGGGGCTTGGTTATGGATTGCATTGTTTTGCGCCACACCAACGTTGCCCTGCTTAAGTCCTGGAAAAAGGAAAGTTTGCATGTTTCGAATTCATAAGGTGTGTTTCCGCGAAGTGCAGCTAGCAGTCCCAACTTGTCGGACATTGTGTGGCATCACAAGATGAGGTCCCGAGAAACTGTCTGAGGAGCTTTTGGTGATTTGGAGATTCTGTATACCCCGTCGAACCCAAACGTTTTGGCCTGTCTCATTGGTAGTAGTGTGGCCACCAGGCGTCTAATAAAATGGGGTAGCTCTTCTATCGCTATTGACTCTTTTGCCCCTCTGATTCTGAGGTTCTTGCGTCTGCCCCTGTCGTCAAGTATGTTTATTTGTTTTACCATATTCGCCTGTGTGGATTGCAGTTGTTATATACTGTCTTCCATTGTGTTGAGACACTGTCTCAGGTCTGTTACTTTGGCCTCTGTCGCTTGAGTTCGTGCTGTTACTTCTTGCACTTTAGTAGAGAGCTTTGCCAGATCAGCTTCCCACATCTGCCTTAAGTTGTGTTGGAGGCCTGTCAGCATCGCTTGGATGTCACTTTTGGAGGCAGGTGTGTTGTCCTGTGGGCCCTGACAAGGCTCCAGGGGATGGGGGCTCTGTAGAGAGCTGTCTAGTGGGTCCCCATCTTCTGGTGGTGATGGTGGGGGTGAGGCCTCCCGGGCGGTCTGGGCCCTAGCTGCGTTTGGCATTTGCAGTAGTTGGCCTATGTCCCGCTGGGGTTTTGGGGTTGATTCTGGTATTTTTTGTACCTTGCGTCCCATCTCACCTCCAGGTGGGGTGCCGAGGATGTATTCCTCCGGATCTAGTGTGTGCCACTGCAGGAGCCCTCCTGTGACGTCGCGCTGTTTCCCGCCCGCGAGGTAGGCTCTGCCGCCTCGGCGTCTAGTTTTGGAGCCCGGGGACAAAAAGAATGGCATCTGCGGAGTCCGCCGGGTGTGCCGCGGGTGATGGCGTATCCGGATTGGGTTACAAAATCACGGGGCTCGGGGAAATGGCAGGTTATTGCTTAAAGAAACATGTATGAAAAACAATATGTTCAATTTCTAACACCTTGTCAGTTTGCAATATCTCTTAAAGACAAAGTACACAGTTTGAGGAATACAATATTTGCATTTGCCCATAACACTGCTTCTCCCAATAATGAAGGATCTGCTGAGGTCGTTCCTGACTCAACTTGATTAAGAGAGGAAACCATGGGATAATAGCAATAACTTTTTTGTCTTCTATCCAAAACTTTTGCAGAAATCTGGGTATCATGGGCACTGGCGGATCCAGGGGGGGGCAACGGGGCAATTGCCCCCCCCGAGAAATCCGCCGGTCTCCCTCTCCCTCCCCTGTCAGATCAGAGATCTCCCTCCCCGGTCCGCAGACACTGTACTGACAGCCGGCAGGGGAGGGAGAGGGAGAGAGGGTCCTCCTCTCGCGAGATTTGGACCACCAGGGATGAAAATATGTCCCCCCTCCTCCCCAGTAAAGGTAAGAAGGGAGTGGGGACATAGAAAAATATTTGTTTTTTTTTTTAATTAAATAAATAAAGATATATATTATTAAAAAAAAGCCCCCCCTACCCTTAACACACACACCCCATAGCCCCCAACACACACATACTGCCCCCATGCTGCTCCCCCCCCAACATACACACATACTGCCCCCCATGCTGCCCCCACATACACACACATTGCCCACATTCACACACACACATTGTTACACACACATACTGTCCCACACATACACTGCATCCCTGACATACACTGCCCCCTACT